CTAGGATTGACTCAGTCCTTGGCAGCTTTTTCAATACCTTGGGAACAGGACTGGCATGTTTCACATCTCCTACTTGCTAAAGGATTTAATTTATTTATTTTATGTAGCCTAGAAAGAACACAGTTAGTACAGTACATGTGTCAAGTGTGGTCTGAAATTGCCTGTTCATTAAATATGCTCTACTTGGGTACCACCAGCCACCTCAGTGACACCTACCATCTTGTGTAACTTTTCTGTAGCACCATCCTCCTGTGCCACACATATTTGTGATGCAAAGTGTGTGTCGGTATAGACACCGATTAGTTTTGATGAAGGGCTTTGCATCCTGTTGTGGTGGTATGTTTGGTCAGGTTCTGGGTAACCTGATTGTGGTCTTATGTTGTCATCTGACCAGTGCCTTCAGGCTGCCCAATTAGTGGCTGAATTAGTTTTAAGTGATTAATTTTAAACTCTGTTCTGGACTAATTTGACAGGGATCTGTGTGCACGAACTGGCACAGCCACTCTTCCCCTCTTCTCGGGGCCTGGCTACATGTGCTCCTTCGCTGGGCAGTGTGGATGGGCCCTGGATGGGAAGGGCATGGCCCTGCCAGCCCCATGGCTGCCCTCAGGTCCTGGGCAAGGCCAGGACCCTGACACTCCTGGGCACTAGCTTCCTTCAGGACATATGAAATGCCCTGTGTTCCCCTTCAACAGGCCTCACCTTCTCCCGGGAACAGTCATCACGACAGCTTGTGAACTGCCACAGTGTGCAGCCTGGTGTTTATGATAAGCCAGCAATGATTTTGATTTTGTTTAATATACTGTTCTCTATAGTTCAGTATTGGCAATGTGAGCAGCTGAGATGTTCCCTAGTAGGCAGGGGTGGGCATAGACCTCTCCAGTTCTCCCAAGACAGCCACTTCCAGAACCAGAGCTCTTGTTCACAGATGTAGAGTGGTCTGCTGGGATCGCTTGCAGGTGGTGTTCCACTCTGTTGATGTAGATGTTGCTAGCCAACTGATGAATAGCTTGTCATAAATGAAATACAGGAAATTCACTCTACGTGGTCTGAAAAATCTGTTAATAATAACATCTCAGTTTAGCATTAACATTTGCAGCATTAGGAGGAGGTCTGAGAAAAACACCACACTAACAAAAGCTTCAGAAATGTTACCAACCTTTTATAAGGAAGTAGTAGGTGGAACAATAGTGTTCATATTCTTCAAGAAGTTGCCAAATGTGGTATGAAGCTGTTTTGTAATGGACTAACAAGGGCTGCTGCAATGCACAGAGTTCTTGGAAATACACAGCACAATTTTTCAAAACATTGTTTTTGACAACGTGAATTCAAGTGAGTAGTGGACGATTTCAACGTTCTTTTTGTACGATTCCTTCAGACTGTCTAGGTCCCTCTGAATGGCAGCCGTTGTTTTGAGCAAATCAGCTGCTCACCCCAATTTGGTGTCATCTGCAAATGTGATGACAATGCACTCCATCACCTCCTCCAGGTCATTGATAAAGACTTTAAACTGGATAGGTCCTAGGATAGACCCCCTGTGTTACCCCACTTTTCACAGGCATCTACCCTTGGTAAAATCATACTGACTGTTCCCAGTAACATTCTTCTCCTTAATGTGCCTAGAAATGTGCTCCAACAGGACTCGTGCCACGAGTTTTCCAGGTTGATAGGCCTGCAGTTCTTTGGGTTGAACTTTTGGCCTTTTTTTGAACGTGGGTGTAACACCTTTCCTGAGTAAGTTGAAGTACGTTATCCCTTTCCAGGAGAAAACAGGAAACAAATTAGGAGTTTGTTTAACTTCTATTCAGCAAGATCATAAAGCCATCTCCGGAGTGTCTCGATGCTGTCTTTATTATACTTTCCTGTTCCCTTCCCTACAGAGAGCCAATGAATTGTTCATAGCTCATGGCTAGGTTTTGGGGGATTAAAGGCAAACTGTGCTTCATTGTGGTAATTTTGCCCAAGAGCAAAGATATTGTGAAAAGTTGTATAAACTAGTGTAGTCTACTACAATCCCATCATTCTTTTAGCAAGTGGTTGTGAGCATTTCAACTCCGGCCTCTGCTGCATACTGAAACAGAGAAATACAAAGATGTTTACATATGTGCATCCAGCATGAACTTGGCCTCATTAAGAAATTGGCCTTGTGTTCTGATCTGCTGCAAAAATCTTCCCAGGTGAGTCTTTGACAAAAAGGCAATCATTAACTTTGTCAAAGATGGTAGGTGTGCCAAGAGCTGTTTGCATCCAGCTTCAGTAGAAGCTGGGCAGTGTGGGGGATGGCCCCTGGTTGCATTGGTAACTGGAAGGCTCCCCAGCACGTGTCCAGGATCAACTATTCCCAGCATTGGTTTGGCCAGGATTTGCAGGCAATGTCCTGAACAACTCCTGGATATAGTCCAGAGGTTAGCTCAGGTCAGGGCTAATTTCTAAAGACAGTTTGCATGTGTCCATCTTATTTAGAGGTTTAATAAAATGTTTCTGGGCTTTTACGTGGTAATTGGCCTCAGTGCAAGAAAGTAGTCCTGGGAGTATTTAGTCTAATAATCAAATGTCTAGTATTATTATAAAACAAATCTAATAATTAAACAGCTATGTTTAAATGTCCAGTATAGAAACCTGAGCCTTTAACTCTCAGGTGGGGTATATACTTCCCTTAAAAAATGAAAGAGGAAAAAAGTTGGTCCAAATCTAATGTACCCATCCTCCAAGATGAACCATTGCTGTGTGCACAAGGGTCTGATCTTTCTCAAATAGTAATGTAGGTGCTTTTCTCAAAGTCTCAGCATTAGGTATAGCACTTTAAAGAGAATACATGTAGGCGTTGTCTTGTGCAGATACTATACTTCTTCATAAATCTGAAAACCCTCAGAAGAATCTAGGCCCCCTCAAGGCTGCTTTCTCCAGTTGGATCTCACCTCATACTGGGAATTGTAAATGCTATTGGAAATGTCTGAAACCTAAAACAGGACAAAAGTTCTCACCAGACTAGTCCCTTTCCCTTCTGCTAATCATGTGCATAATTCTTAAGTTCTTTGGTCTGCAGTATTGTTGGATCAGAAGGTAAGAAACACGTTCCTACATATATATAAAATGAGCATGTTATAAAGATGATTACATTGCTCCACAATAAGAAGACCTAAGCACTCTGCTTTTGTTACTACACCTCGGTTCTTTCTTCTTTGAATAAGAATCACAATTTATGATGCTTTCTGACTGCAAAGACTGGTAGTCCTTTTGGGATTCATGAGAGACAAAGGACCCTTCCAGTCAGTGAAACAGAAAACAAAGAACTGGCTCTAAAGGACATTATTCCTTTTCCCACCCCAGAGGGACCACCAAAACACATGAGCTCCTCATCTTTTCCAATACTAGGCTTTCCTATACTTCCCCAAGCCCTAACCCTAAGGCTATATATTAGGTGCAGAATGCATCAGGAAATGAAGAAGTGGTGCTGTCTCAAACTGACAGCTCAGCATCTGAACAGAAACGCAAAGATCCTTCTGAGTCAAGCCCTATTCCCAAGTGGAAGAGGCACGTGTTACGCAGTAGTTATCTAGGCAACTGTACCAGTGCATAGTACGACTCCAGCTCCCACAGTTGCTCTAAGTGTACAAATGGATACCATTGTTTCACAACAGGAACTTAGAAAGGCTGTCCAGCTGCAATAAGAGCCATTTTGAGAAATATTTAGGTTGGAATGTACCTCTGAAGGTCATTGAGTCCAACCTCCCACATAAAGCAGAGCCAACTTTAGTGTCAGATCCAGTTTCTCATCCAGTTGTGTTTTGAATGTAGCCAAGAATGGAGATTCCACAGCCTCTCTGCATACTCATTCCAGAGACCACCCAACCACTCTCACCTGTAAATCATTCTTTTTCCTTATATCAAATTGGACTTTCTCTTGCTGTGGACCTCCCAGACAACTCTGACTGTCTTCTGTACACACAGTGGAAGACAGTGCTAGATCTCCTTAGCTTCTATTCTCCAGGCTGAAAAATCCTAGTTCCTTCAGACCCCTCTAATCATCTTGATGCCCTGCTTCTGAACTTAACCAATTTGCCAATGTCTTTCTTGTACTAGGAGGCTGAAATCTGGACACGGAACTGCATGTGCAGACTCATGAGTGCTGAGTAGAGGGAATAATCACTGCCCTTAATCTGCTGGGTCCTCTCCTCCCAGTATAGCCTAGTATGTGGATAGTTTTCATTGCCATAAAGAAGCGCTTCTGATTTATGTTCAGTTTGCTGCCCACCAGACCTCAGACCCTTTTCTGCAGACCTGTCAGTCAGTCATTCTCTAGGATACATGCAGTTAGTTTTTCCCAGGTATTTGGCTTTGCATTTGCTTCAAGAGGTTCCTATCAACTGATTTCTTCAGCCTGCCAAGAGTCTTCTGAAAAGCAGGCCTGCCCTCCGGTGTATCAGGCAGTGTCCTCTGTTTGCAGTTAGAGTTTTAGACATACTCCTGTCCTTTGAGATTCCTGTTGATTTCAGACCACTACTCAATGTGTCAGCCTCTTTCAATCCCGTTCTCAATTTTTCAGTTGCCTATGTGTGCTTTAAGGGCTTCGAGGAAACTTCAAGTATGAATAGCCCCATTCATGACAGCAGAACAATGGCATTTTTTAAAATTTTTGTATTCGTCTTAATAAATTCATTCTTATATTTTTAATATGAGACAAACCCATTATTTTTTCTTAAACAACTGAAATGTAACTAAAATTTCTTGACTGAAATATATCAACTGTATTCACAAAACGGAAGATATCCAATAAGAACAAGTTACCCAAACAGTTAAATTTAGCAAAAATTAAAAGAAAAGACAATGGCATTTAAAAACATTATGTGTGATGTATCATTCTTTCTTGGATGTACTACTGTCTTTGCCAAGAAAAGGAAGAAAGTGAAGAAAGCAGATATATTACTCCAGACTTTCCACAGGAACACACAGTTGCCTGAGCTAAGAAAGGCACTTTCAAATTCCTCAGTTTTGCTTGGTTATTTCACTACGTCAGCAACTAGTGTTATCTCTTCATTTTCAGATGGTATTGACTGAATTTTGCTCTCCATCAGCTGAAAGGAAAATAAAAGCTTCCATTGGTTTTGTACACTTATGCACAATTCTGAGAGTATTTCAACTTTTGTTAAATGTTTTATAGAAATAGTTCACTTCTTTTTTTCCTTAGCTGATAAGTTTTCCTTAGCTGAACATAACAGTGAGGTCTCAGCAACTTTGTAATAATGACACATGGTTTTTGAATGGCCTGGAAGTGGGCAGGGAGAAGGCGTGCTTTTCTCCAATGCAGCACACAGGTTACGACAGATAGTCTCAAATGAATCAATACAAAAAGAGTACCTTCGCTAATGTGTGAAAGCACATGGGTACACATTAACCTGAATTTAGCTAATTGAACAGACTGTGAGAAATTACTGGACATGACTTGATAAACTGGTGGACAAGAAAAGGGTTGGTATGTTGGTCTGGTCAAACGCTGTGTGTGACCACTGCAGTCTGTCCTGTTACCTTACAAAATCCTATTTTGAACTGTCTTCTGTGTCACCTTGCTTTCTATCCTGTGTGTAACTTGCTAGTGAACTTCGCAGAAGCTGGACTAGTGGATGTGCGTGAGAGATCTACACCTGGAGAGACTCAAGGTGAGAGCTGGTGTCCTGGTGGGGGGACCCAGGGTCTGGACACGAGATCAGATGTGAGTAACTTGTGAATTTATGGTTGTTGTGAATGAAGAAAGTGAGGGTGTACGCACGTACCACTGGCAAACTTCAGCCCTGCTCAGCTGGAGATGAGCAGGAGGACTGGGCTGTCTGTGACCCTATTTTTGTGACTGCTGTTGGTGTTGATACGACGCTGGTAAAGGCATCTGTGCTGGTCTTTGTGGCTGGGTGCATTAGTGTCCTCTGTGTGTGTCATTGTACATGTGTGTGCCTCATCCTGGGAATGAGCCCTTGCTGCTGTCTGGACCTACTAACGGGAGCATCAGCCTCTACATCTGTGAGAATGGAAACAGAGAAACCCTCTGGTTCTGGAAGAGCATTGCATTTGACTTCCCTCAATAGACTTGCCTGCTGATTTTCTCTTGTAATTTCTCAAAATATGGCAAAGAGAAGAGTTACTCTCTGTGTTAATCTGCTTATGATTTAAAAAATATCTGCAGTAGAGTCTTGTATGTATTTCGTACATTAATATAAAATAGCAAGAGAACATACCTTTGGACTTGTATCAGGCAGTCCATGAAATGTATTTTTTGGCTCTGGGATTTGTGGAAATGCTGCTTTCCAGCAGCCAGTCCTGGATATCAAAAGGGATGGAATAGAAAAGAAAAATTAAGCAACTTTCATGTGTTAAAACCATTTCACCCTTGAAACAGCGCATATCTGCCTCTTCTAGAATAGAAGAGAAACGAAGAAGCTACATCATCTCAGCACCAAATGAACACCTATCAGGAAAACACTAAGAATTTGTATGGAAATTGGTTCATTTTCTGTTAAAATATTTCTTCTTTGAAAGAAAAATTAATTTGCCCTGCTCTTTACGTCACTACAGCCAGTAAAAAGCGGGTATAAAAATTTAACAAGTTGAAAGAAAGGTATCTTCTCTGAATTACTGTGTATTTCTACACAAAATGCATGATATGGCAGAATATCCCTTTTCTTTCTGTTTCACTTACACGGTTTGTTGGAAGAAGCAAGCTACTTACCTTATGTGCTTTCAGATGCATTCAGTTTGCTAGGACAACTCTAGTGAACATTGCAAAATCTTTACCGGTAAGTACAATCAGCCTGTGTGTTCATATTAAATTTAGAAGTTCAAGAAATCAAAAAACCCATTGTGTAGACAGTCTACACTACAAATATTCCAGGCAGCTGTACTGATAATGTAAGTAATTGCATATAATTGCTCTCCTTGCCAGGTTGACAGAAGAAAATAGAACTGGAAAGACAGAAGAAAAAAACTGGAAAAACTTGTGTGGATCAGCTGGGGAGCTACTTTTGGCATCACCTTTAACAGTACCTGCCTGAGGATCACTCATTTGGATTGATTTCTACTACAGTGTGAGTGAAAAAGTTTTGTCTATACTACAGAGACACCTCTACTTTGTTTAAGAACTGCAGATGTTTCACAGACCCACACAAAATAAAATACAAGCATAAATTACATTTACCTTTTGCAGAACAGAATTGCTATGATTGCCACTAAGAGTGTCACGACCGTTACCACAAGTAAAATCCATACTGAAGAAGAAATAATTTCTTCATTTCCTGAAAGAGAGACAGCCATCAAGTATTATTGTTAATAAAGAGGAATAGATGCACTGCTGTGTCAAACATCTACTCTAGTGTCTGACTGGTGAATGTCAGTCTGAAAGGTTTCACTTGGTATGAAAATCAACTCTTTAATTTAGCACTTTAGCAGTAATGTCTTCTGGGAGGGATTAACATTGAGCCTGTTTGTCCACCCCTTGCAGCAAACATGTATGCACTTCAGCTGCAAATGTGTTACTTTTTGTATTTATTTCCAATCTTAGTGTTAAAAGATATATTAAATCTCTTCACCTTCTTCTCTGTAGTGTGGAGTGAAACAAAATGTTTGCCAATCCTTTATATATCTGTGTGTCTGTAGGTATGCAGCAATGTGTGAGGCAGACAGAATATTGCTGGAGGAAGAGTAGCCCTAGGCATGGATTTGTTCTTACCAAACTCTACGGGTGTGCTCCACTCCCCCCAGGCTGGGCTCACAAAGCAGGCACTGCCAGCTGCTCTCATTTTCAAGAGGTATTTCTTTCTTGTATTGGATCTTGGAAATGTGTGACTGTTTTCCTCTTCCTAAAAACAGAGCAAAACTGAGTTCTGTTTTGTTTTTTTTTGTTGCATATCTAGGTGTTAATAGGCAAGTGTAATTTACCAGTAAAATTTCTATGAGGCTACGAGAGCATTTCTTCTTAAAGTCAACTGGTGTTCCGGAGAAAGAAATGACCATATTCAAGTTTATTATGTATATATTATGCATACATCTCTGTTCCTCAAAAATAATCTGTCACTTGGTAAACTTTTTAAGTGTAGAATCTTTTAATCTTTTACACTATATCCTGTAATTTCTTATCATATAGTCTGATTTATTGATTTTCTTTTCCCTTGGCACATGGACAGAGGCAGAAAAATATCTTCAACTATCTCATTTCAATACTGCTAGAACTGGGTGACTTGAGAAATAAACTGCCTGTGTGCAGTCACCTTCCTCAGTCTTTGCTTATAACTTTTCAGCCAAACCTGTACAATAGAGGACTGCAGTACTTAGCGTTAGTAGAATTTACTGAAACGTGCTTGCTCTTGGGGACTTTCAGGATGGATGTGGGATGTGCATTGATTAGAAGGAGGTGCAGCATACCTGGAGGATAGCCTCCATCCCACAGGGTTTTTGTGGCCTTTGTTTTTCATCTACAGAATTAGATTCCTAGGAGGTGTTTTCTCTGTGTCTCTTTTCTCTGCTGTCACTTATGTGTGCCAAATTCTGTTCCAAATATTTGAGGGAGAGAGTGGACAATACAGTGTAAAATGGAAGATTATCAATATACTTACAGAATTGTCCACATTTAGCCTGTACCCAGGTCCAAAGTCTAACAGTTGCTATATCACATGATGATCCCTCACCAGCCAGGAATTAGGAAAAGGAGAGGAGACCCATGGTTTTATGCAAAAACAGATTTAATGAGACAGCACTAACACCAACAAAGTTATACTCAGCCAAATGAATATGCAGCAAATATGCAGCAGTCACAATCACCAGGAGAGCAGTCCTCAGGAGCAGGGAGAAGCCAGAGGAGGAGCAGGAGGAGCAGAAGGATCCCCAGCAGGGATCCCCCAGGAACTCCCTTCCTCAGCCAACCTTCCCCCTTTATAATGACCATGACACTACCGTACGGGCTACACCTGTAGCTGACTCAGGGCAGCTGCCCTGGCTGACTCAAAACTGCCAATAGGCTGCCCGGCATGGCTGGGCTGTGATTCTGTCACAGCGAAACCAGGACAGAACAATAATAAAATTCTGTGATGATTCAGCAGTTTGACACATTCATGAAATTTCTAAATAAGGATCCCATAAAGCATAGGACATTGAACATGTACTGATTTAAAGACATTTGCATACTATTTGCTTTTCACAAGTGTCTATGAAACTAACATATATTGGTTATTAATAGAACAAGTAGACTTACTTGTATAGAAGTATATTTGGTTTTTCCCATTGGATTATTCTGTAAATTGAGAAAAAAATCTATTTTTACGTTTCTTCTTTTGTGTTTAGATAATCAGTCATTTTGATCTACTGTCCCCTTTTTCTGCATTACTCTTATCTATTTGGCAGTTTGTTCAGAAGAACTAGTAATTTATCTAACATTTAGTATCTAATACATAATTCTTCTACAATGCCAAGTTTATATGGTAGCTAATCCTTCTACGGAAAAGTAGTTGTCTTCCTTACCACCAGAGCTGAGAAATAAATTTTATTTCAGTTTGGTGATTAAACTGAAACACAAGCAAACCAGACATCAGTGAAAGCTGTAACTTTATTCTTACACATACCAGAAAAAAAAAAAAAAAAATCTGTGAAATAAACTTTTTAGTTTACATCTAGTGCTTATATTTTCAATAAATGTCACTATATATAACTGCAAATACTATGTAAATATTGTTTCCTTTCCCTCAGATAAAAATATTCAGGACTGACATGGATTCACAGATATTTGAGGCTGCCCTCCAACTACAGTTTTGGTAGACACAATAAAATTCACTCGTCTCTTCTGAATAGCCATAATGACTACCATGAGGTGTAGTAGTAATGAGGTGACCACACACAACTAGTGATCTCCATTAGCCTGTCAGTTATGTATTTTTGAAATTATTTTGGTTTCTGTATTATTCTATTTTTAAAACAAAATGAAAATTTATCAGACTGCATTCATGCTCATGTGGCACCTGAACATGAGTTTGCAAGGCATGCTGCTGTACAGGACAGCTTTTAGAATCTGTAAACAATCTAGCTTCAGCACAGTGATCAATCTAGGAGAAAGTGCAACAATATACTCTCCCTTTTCTTGTGTTTATACTAAAATAATATATGAGATATGAAAACAATGAGGTCATGGAAGACTTCAGAACGTGGAGTTCCAGAAGGACAGCTGGTCTTTTGCAAATTTTGGAAGAAGAGATGTATTAAAGGGTACTACATTTAAAAAAGTGGAGAAGAAAATGTGTATGACAGTTAAAAGAGACTCCTTCCTGCAGGGGATGGTGGCACCAGTCTGCTGACGTGACCTGATGGAGGTTTGTTGCTTGCTGGGAGCCAGGATCTAGGACGCTGCAGAAAGAATGCCAGACTTATCTGGCCATTGATCTATTACCCCTTCCTGCTCTTCTGTGTGGGCACCAGTGATACGGGCAGGGCTAACTTGCATGGTGTCAAGGGTGATTGCAGAACGCTGGGGAATGGTGGAGGGCAGGAAGCCCGGATGGTTTGTCCTCAGTCCTTCCAGTGGGAGGGAAAGGCTTGAGCAGAATGGCTCTCATCCAGCAGGTTAACATATGCCTGGGTGGCTGGTGTCACAGCAACAGTTGACTTCTACGACCTTGGGACTCTTTAAGAAACGGGGGCTACTGAGTGGGCATGGGGAGCATCTCACCAGGTGGGGTGAGAGTGTCCTTGCAAAGAGGCTTACTAATCTGGGCCTTGTGCCCTGTGTAAAGGAGTGCCTTGAATACATAGAGCTCTGTCTTGGGACAAATGATGAACCAGTATAAGAGCTTGTGAGTAGACATCAGAGGACAGACCAACACAGGTGACAACGTAGTAGGTGTTTGTTCCAGATCTCCCGATCAAGAAAAGGAAGCAGATGAGATGCTTCAGGCAGCTTGAGAAAGTGTCACAGCTGCAGGCCCTGGTACCCTGGGGAAAGTGCCCTGGAGGGCAGAGTTGCTGGTTGGTTTACAAAGATAGCCTCCTCAGAGCACAAAATGGTCCATTCTGGTGTGCAGAAAAATTGAGCAAATGTGCCAGGTGAGCATGACAGGACATGAAGTTTGAGTCGGAGCTTAAAGAAAAAAAGGATGTATGCAGAAAGTAGAAGAAGCGATTAGGGAGGAATACCAAGACATCATCTGCACATGCCGGAATGCAGTCAGGAAAGCAAATCTCAGTTGGAGTTGAGACTTGTGAGGGAGGTGAACACAAGAAAGGTTTTTGTGAGTGCACTGGCAACAAAAGGGAGGTTAAGGAGAATACAGGCCTGCTGCTTACTGAGTTGAGGGAACCTAGTAACAAGGGACATGGAAAAGGCTGAGGTACTTGGTGCCTTTTTAGCTCAGTTTTTGCTGGTAAAGTTTGCCTTCCTATTTCCCAGATATCCTGGTCTATAAAGCCTTAACTTAAAACATTGCTAAGGATGAATCCAAGATTCGCAGCAAATTTAGTTTATCTGTGTCAGACATGAAAAAATGTGATTGAAATTATGTTACTCATGGTGTTATCATTTTTTTGTCTGCTCCCGATGCAAGTAAAAGTACTTTACAATTGTGAAAATAAAGTTTAAAGGGTAACTGTGATACAATATATGTTGGTCACAGTGTATTAGTAAAACAATGCAAGATTACACCAGGCAGTGGTAAAGCAACAAATTTTGCAATACAGTAATTGCTGGACCTTGACATAATTAGTAACATGAAAATTGCTAATAATTATTCCAAAAATGCTAGGCAATTCAGACTACGTGTGAGTTGAATATTCTTTATAAACCGAATATTAGGCATATTGCTTTACTGCAATGTACTTTTATTCCAATGTCACACAGAGTTTTCTATAAGATTTCTTTGCTGCAACCGCCAAGGGATTCAGAGAAGTAATGCGGTTTTGTAGCAGTTAGTTGGGCTTACAAGAAAACTTATCAATGAAATAGCAAGCCCGATCCAGATTAAGTTGTTCCAAATAACTGAAACCTAGGCAATTCCTTCAATCAGCCACGAAGTGGCCGAATCTTGTTGTAGTAGAGTCAGGTTTTTCCTTTGTAGTCACTATCTGCCACCCTGTGGCCATTTCACGCAATTCTGCCACAGTTGCAGTAGTTTTTAGGTCTACTCCTCTTGCAGCAGAACACAGCAATCTCATCCTTTCATTAGTGCTGTAAAAAGACTTCCAAAGCCAGGGTCTGAATCTAATTTTCAGTAGGTTAAATCATTCCCTCAATAACTTGTGCTTATGCACACTGTCATTCTGCTTTCTTTCACATTTATTTTCCTTTTATTTAACATTATATGGTTTCAACTTTTGGACCTACAGGTGTGTTGCTTATATATGATCCCTGGATAAGCTATTTACATTTCGTATATATACAGAAATTTCGTTCACCTCCATGAACTCATACTTGTTAAGTAGATGCACATTTCTCTATTCAGTATTTACAGCCCAGCTCTGCCCTTTCACAGAAGTGCAGTCAACACAGGAATGACTCCAACGCAGGACAACTCCCTCAGGTTCTAGCAAAAGAAGTGACTTTTCTGAGTTTTGTCACAGCCAAGACTGCGATATGTTCAAGTCTTGATTAACCATGCTTTTCCTCTTAGTGCCACACAGTCACAGTCATCCAGTGTATCTGAAGCAACATCTCACATGGGGGAACAGGATAAAAATGTGGGGCAGTATGACATAACAGGGTGCCTGAAAGGCACAACCAGAAAGGAATATAGTGCTATGCATGAGGAAGGCTATGCCATACAAGAGAGACTGATTTTCCTTTTATCCATGTGTATTGGTAAATGTAAACATTTAATGTATTAATGTTAAATGTTGGTGAAGAAATTCCTCTTACCTTATACTTTATGTTGATTTCATATTTAAAACACTTGTCTTTGTTAGAATGACTTATTTGAGGTCTTTGCCATTGAATTATGCAATCATTCTTAGTTTCATCACAGTTGACAGTGATATTTGATGGAGGCATCAGTTTTTCTGAAATGATATAATCAAGAATTCAAATAATTAAGATCACCACATCTTTTTGCTTTGGTAAAAAAGCGTGCAATTGCCAGCAACAAGTCTATGAAGAAAGATACTAATTTGTATCTATTTTTTTTAGGAACTCTGTTAGAAATAATTGGAAGACTAAAGTTCTTTAAATCCTGTCCCCAAGATCAGAAAAAAACAGGGACTAAGCCAGGGAACATGACTTAGGTGTATACAAATGTACAAGCCCCCTCTATTTACTTTTCTAGATGAATAAGGTAGAGTTTGTCTTCTTTTTATAATGATGTTTTTAACTGCAGAAGAGTAAAATTATGCTAACCCTAATGTAGGAAATCCAAAGTAATTTCTTTCTTCAGGCCTCCTCACATGATGCTTCTGTGACATGATGGTGTTGCTTGCTTGGTGTTGCAAAATATGGAGTTTATTCCCCCATTCCAAAAAATTAGCCATACAAATTTAAGAATGACACTTCAGTTTTAAGAATCTAGCCAACTTCTTCACATATCTCCCCTAATTTCACAGATATTAGTAAAAATATAAGGACCTTTTTATTTTGGTCATCGCCAAGGACTTGATTATTGTAACAGCAAAAGACAGTCACTCATGATATAAAGGGTGATAAAAGGCTGATAGAAGAAACCTTAGTTTCAGCTAGGCTGCTACTTTACATCAATATTTAGAGACAGGCTTGGCCTATTTGTGATATGCTACTTGCTTAAAAACAGTCTTGTTTCATCTACTGTGAGTGATATAACAACTCAATACCTTCTGCTTATAGAACGAAGCCTTTTTTGTTCATTTTTGAGGCAACACCAAGAACAGTGGGACTTTGCCAAAAAGGCTTTGCCACAGTAAAAGTAATCACACAGGATGCTTTGAAGTAGAGCACCACAAGTGAAAGAACATATGAAAACCTTAGGTTACTTTGTACACATACTAATTTCTTTAATCAAGGGTATAGTATCAGTGTACACCATCCCCTCCGGCAATGAGAATGAGAAACCAGTGCTCAGATAAACTTGTCCTGAAAAGTCTCCTATGTTGAAAGGTCTTCGGTCATCACTGAAAGGACAGCAGGGGGAAGCACGATCTCTTAAGTCCTGTGGACCTTGCTGGGGAAAGACCTAAAACCGGTAAGGGTAGATTGTCAAAGAACCTGAGGCAGGCTGCAGCTGTGAAGCTTTCTTGCTTGATTTCTGTCATTGCTCCTTTGCTTGGGAAATAGGTTTTCCTGAAGAGGCCATAGTCTCTTACTTTCAACTCTAGGTGAGACACAGTATTCGGTTCCTTCTCAGGGATGAATGCTCTACTACCCTCATACAATAAGGAAAATAAAGCATGAAGAAATTATTTCCTTACCAATTTTATACAGTTGAATGTACTCATCATAGAACTGGATCAGGGAGTCTTTGCTAGACCCGTTCACCAAGAAGTAAGCTTTTTCAATCTCTATCCTCACATTATGGAATCTACATCCCATGTTTCTGCCATTTTTGTCTTTAATATAAAGCTCACATTCCATCGCATCGTCATCTCTGTATATAGCAAGATATTTTAGTTAATCGTGGGCAGTGTGATGCATCGAATGAGAATTGAGACTTCCGTAGACTCAAGCAGACCTACTTACCTTGAGTTCTGCCAGTAGAGAAAATATTGGGTATCTCCTGGAGCATCCCTGCCTGCCTGCCAAGTGCAGTTCATGAGGGAAATGTTATAAATCACACAGGAGAAGTTTTCAATGGCCGACCCGTTCATGCCTGCAAACACAGGAATATCCTTGATGCAGACAAATTGTGTGACTGCTCCAAGCTGGAGGATCATGGCACATGCTTAAATATGTTAGTCACCTGCAGCTTCAGCTGGTTATTTCTTGGGTTAGGAAGGAGTTGCTTCATTTATGTAGTAACACTGGAAGATATTTGCATTGTCAGATTCAGTGAAAAATTTGTCATGGATAAATCCTCCAAAAATACGTTTATAGCTGCATCTAGTAGAATAAATCTCAAGGGAGCCTAGACTGCTCTAGTACAGGCTGACAACTAAGTGGCTACCCTTGTGCTTTGGATTGTTCCTATTCAAAAAGAGATGCTGGTGCCACAATGCCACAAAATGAAACATTTGCCTGTCATCCTTCAGCACCCTGCTATAGCATTTCTATTTGAAGGATCTTCTTCAGCACCCTGTCAAATGAGTGGAGAGCATGTGGAGTTTCCTTGTGGACTCCAGAGAGGGAGAGAAACCCCAGTGCAGAGCTGTGAAGTTTTTCAAGACTTCAGGGAGGTATAGATGCAAACTTGTGAGGTGTTTGTGATCTGCAGTGATACCTTCTTCCACCTGTGATTAACATCAGGAATCTTCTCCTGATCACAACTTACTCCACTCCCAAAAAACCCAATAAGGAGACTAAAACTACCTTTTAAAAAGAAGGATGACTTATCCATCCTTTTATAAGGAATCAGCAAATACTTTGAGCTTGATGAGGCAGGAAGTAGTGCCGTTTTATGTATGCCAAATCCATATTGCTTAAATGAACAGATCTTGTACCTCATTCTCTCAACAGTCTCATATATATTACCCTTCTCATACAAAGAGGAGTAAATTCTGTCAGATCTTTCATTATCGTGTGTGGGACACTGCAAAATGTTGGGCCTTACACCATAAGTTACACCATGGCAAAATTCAAGGTGTCACAGATTTCCCAAGGAAGAATTTCAAAACTACAGCCACAAATCTGTTTCACTTGGATTTTCATAACATTTTAAAGATATTCAAATGCAGCCAATATAATATTAGCACAGACAACTAAAAGAGAGTTGGCAATTAAAAAGACAGCACCAAGAAAGGTGTCAACTGAGGACTAAAGAATTGCTGAACTAGTAGGAAACTCCTTTTTTTTTTTTCACAGAAACATTGCCATAAGGCTGTGAACAAGAATTTGTTCATCCTACAGGAAACAAATGAATTAAGGAATGAAGGGTTTCAGTTTTTATTTTACTCCCAGGCCATTGGAAGTACACAAATCCTTTCCCAAATTCTAGCATACTACCTTGAGCAATATATCTGCATATGCCTGAATATGTGCCATTCATGTTCACTGCTGTAATAGAAAAGCTTGCCCCCTTGTGCAGAAGAGGTGCTATTTTTCCAAACATGCACTTCATATTCTCTGCTTGAAAAATGTCATGCAGAAGTTTACTTTTCAGTTTTTCATCTATTGGTTTACAGAGCGCTGCTCCCAGTAGAAAAGGCTTAAGCTTGGTTTGTAACAGTGGGACCACTACATTAGTGAAGTAGGTACTGATGTCTTCCCTGGCTCAAGAACTCCCTTTCCAGAAGTTTTGGATAATGAACCTTTACCAGCGTAAGATGAAGAGTTCAGAGCTTCCTCCATTTACACAAGATCTGAGTCCTAGATCACTTGTCTGCTATCAGAAGTTTGGATCTGATTTGGAGCTGAATTTGGCAAGGAATGTGAAAAACAATAATAAGGACTTCTACAAGTACAATGGTCAGAAAAGAAAGATAAAGCAGGTGTGTACTGCTCCTGATAAATAACACAGGAGAACTAGTGACAAGTGACATGGACAAGGCTGAGGTGTTCAAAGAATTTTTGCCTCACTGTTCACTGGAAATCACTCTTCCCACATCTCTCAAGTCCTTGAATCTCAATGCGGAATTGGGGGAATGAAGTCCCTCCCATCATAAGAGAGGATCAGGTTTGAGACCACCTGAAGAACCTGAGTGTACATAAGCCCATGGGACCAAACGATATGCATCCCAGGGTCCTGATAGAATTGGCTCTGGGGTCCCCAGCACAAGAAAGAATATGGACCTGTTCAAGCATTTCTACAGGAGGGTCACAAGAATGATCAGGGGGCTGGAACACCTCCCCTATTAGGACAGGTTGAGAGAGTTGGGGTCGATCAGCCTGGAAAAGAGCAGGCTCTGAGGAGGCCTTATTGTGGCCTTTGAATACCTAAAAGGGGCTTATAAGAAAGATGGAGAGAGACTATTTACCAGGGCCTGTAGTGACAGGACAAAGGACAATGGATTCAAACTGAAAGAGGGTAGATTTAGATTGGATTTAAGCAAGAAATTTTTTTATGACGAAGATGGTAGGATGCTAGAACAGGTTGCCCAGAGAAGTTGTGGCTGCCCCTTCACTGGAAATGTTTAGGGTCAGGTTGGATGGGTCTTTGAGCAACCTGACCTAGTGAAAGATGTCCATGCTCATGGCAAGGGGGTTGAATCAGACAATCTTTAAAAGCTCCCTTCCAACCCAAACTGTTCTATGATTGTATGAACCTGCTTGGCCCTCAAGAGTCATTCCACAAACATGTTTTCACAGGCTTCTGTGTCACATCAGTCATCCCTGAGCAAGCACATTACTGCATTTCCAATGTCTGTGAATGCTTATATCATGTTTTTAGGTAAGTCAGCAACGACTCATGTATCTTATTCAATCTATCCTTTGTACTTAAAAATTCCCATCTGCACAGCATGAGATACTTCTCATGAAAGTTCCTCTGAGACCAGGAAAAGAGACAATCTTACACTTCAGTCCCATCAACACCGTGAATCCATAAGAGTCCTCTGAAGGCAAGAATGTTCCAAGAACAGCTAGAGAGGGCAGATAAGCCTCAGTACCAAGATAGGCTTCAACAAAAACTAGAAAAGTCTGCTAAAACATAGACTGTCTTGTTCCTACCAAGGATACTTTTTCAGTTACTTAAGGATATGTAAGAAAAAGAAGGAACTGTAACGATTGACCTCTGTTAAAACTTTACAGAGTTTGGCATCTCTGCTGCAAGTGTCACATAATAGAATCAGTAAATACAGACTATCTTGTTCCTACCAAGGATACTTTTTTCAGTCACTTAAGAATATGTAAGAAAAAGAAGGAATTGTAATGATTTATTCCTGTTAAAAATTTATACAGCAAATGTACTGTTATAGTCTCAGTAAGATCTCCTGCTGTCACTGAACATCAGTCCTCAGTGAAATTCGTGCTGCTCATCCACCTCAGTTCCATTTTCCACTGATTCAGTATCACATTTCTAATAGATGAATCTAAGATCTCTGCTGCAAGTGTCACATAATAGGATCAGTAAGGTGCAGGACTGATTCCCAGATTTTTGGGTGCAGTTGTTACCACCTAGCACATCTAAGGTGCTAGGCAACTTAAGCACAACTAATAGTAATGAGAAAGATGTTTCGCTCCACCACAGAGGATTGCCTGATGAAATTGTTATACTCACAGTCTGTGCAGTGCCAGCCAACACACAACTGGGTGATCAGCAACATCCACTGGGTCATGAAGATGAGTGCAAAAGGAGAAACCATCTCTTCCTCCTTGGAGACAGAGAACAGTGAAACTTGCTCAAGGTGAAAGATGCCAGTGTGAACAACTCTCACCTAAATTTGTGTAGTCTGACCTGCTCATACACCACCTTCTACACCATCTAACCATCTCTCAGTTCTGTTGGGAGCTTGGTAGTGTTAGGGTAATTAGTGGTGGGCTTAGTAGTGTTAGGATAATGGTTGGACTTGATGATCTTAAAGGTGTTTTCCAACCAAGAAGATTCTATGATTCTATGATTCTAAGATTAGATAGACTTCTCAAGCAGTCAGAGAAATGTTCAAGTTAACAATAACAAAGTTAAAGAAATTGTCCTTTTCTGCAACAAAACAATTTTCTGATGATTCATAAAGCTGATGATCTCGGGAGCACTGTGTAAACATTAGATACATATATTCAGTGACTGCTATCTAAAAGTCAAAGATTATTTATCTATCTGCTATACACAAAGGTTGGGATAAATACATGCCAGCAGGTGGGTAAACAGCTGTAAAGAGAAAATATCAAAATGAGTCACAATATCAATCAGCTCGAGTTACCCAATGGTGAATATGGTAAATTTGGTGAGGGCGTTAGTTCATGGACTTTCAAGGACATTTTTGAGTGTATGCTTAAAAGTGGATCTAGAAGCAGTATTTAACTTCTACAAATTCAGTACCAAAGCCAGCAAGAAAATCAAAATTGTGGCTAGGACCTTTCTTAAGGTCCTATCAAAATTTGCAAAAAAACTTCGTTCAGCTTAGCTCCATGTATTCCTCTGACAGCTTTTTAGATTTTGCCTGGGTCATCACCCCTCCAGCCCTGGACTTCCTAGAGTCTCAGTGAATACTTCAGCAAACAAAGCAGTTAGAAAGACAAAGATGGACCTACCTTCTATTTCAAAATCTGTTTATCATCTCATTTATCTTTCTATTATAGTCTTCAGGCTCAGAGAACATGGAAGACTCGTGTTTTAAATGGCTGTATAGCTATAAATAGGTCTGTCTCCCTTGCCGCTTGCATTTTGGGGAACTGTTGTACTGTCGGAAGTGTTGTAAGATTCGATGTTCATCACTTCCCTCCTGATTCTTACCAAATTCATGTCATTGCACAACTCATGATTTCATATAACATTACCAAGCAGTTAGCTGGTTAAATTTTCCTTTCTGTGGCAGAGAGTCCACTGGTGCTTGGGAATCCAACAAGTGCATAAAAATCTTTTCTTTTACAGGTATTTCTCTCTAAGTCTAAATAATACTGAGTAGTACAAAGCCTCTCTCAATAGAGGATATCAAATCTTGGATATGAAGTTTTCTAATAGATTCTATCACTATCAAAAGTTGTGATCTGGACTTGTTCTCAGTCCATTTCTCACAGTATGAAAAAAACCCAAACCACAAACCACTGCAAAACAGATGAAAATTTGCATGTAGTAAGCATTCAACTACAAAAAGCCACTCCGGGGCCTGCTGCCAAGCATTTGTTCCCTTCTTGGATCACAGCTGTGCATTTTCTAAAGGAGAGGGTTATTATAAATGGTATAAAGCATCAAAAGCTCCCTTTTATCCTGAAAGGCTTTGCTTCACAGAAGACAATGTAACGTACTTCATATGGAGATTTATAATCCATGTGAAGTAATTTCATTTCTTCACACGTTGAAACTGAAACATCACTCAAAAATGCAATATTTTTCAAACAGCAACATATGTCAACATTTTCCTCTTAAAGACAGGCATATCCGTTCTGCTGGAGTTAAAAATTTGTAGGAGAGAGAACTGTCCGTGTGCTTCTCTTCCACTCCCATTTCTTGCCTACTATATTTGGAAAAAGTCTCCTGCTGCCCAGCACCCTTTCAGGATGCTCCAGGATTTGCCTTCATCAAAATCCCAAGGTTATTCCTATCCTACTGGTTCTTTATTGATGTATGGAGTGATATAACCATATTAGCTGTAGTCCATATACCAGCAATTCACACATAACGGAGATCTAGTTATTTCCAAAAGAGATAGCCAAAGATAGTGCAGTGCTAACTGTCTTTGGAGACAAAGAGGGCTTACTTTCTAGAGACCAAGAAATGCCTATCCTCATGAGTATTTCTTCTTCCTGGATTC